TGAGATTGGATCCTCGTACAGGATTCACTTTTTGTTGAGTCATGTACTCTTAGAATTTCCTTTTGATTGTTTTTCTCCAGTTTCAGGGTTTTTGGCCCCAGTTGCCGCCGAACTTGTTCGGGGCATATTTCTCTACTCGGGACTCAGTTTTCAACGCCGTTTCTTCCATTGTTCATACTTTCTTATTTTGGTTCATTTTCATTCACGGAGTTTTGCCGTTTGAACGCGTCTGCTCAAATTCCACTTTTCCGGACCCGGCGGGACCCTTTAGGGAAAGTTTTAGGGTTTTCTATAAATAGGAGGTCTTAAGAGAAAAAGTCAGATTTTTCTCTCTCTCTTTCCTCTCTCTTGGTCGGCAACCATGGCAGCCAAGGGGCTGCCACCCTTCTCTCTTCTTTTCTAGCCACTTCCCTTTAGTAAAAAGTCGTAGTGCCTTCACGTTTTATGTTTGCCTTGATTACGCACATCTTTCCCCCTTATTAGAATCCATTTTTGGCCATTTCTTGAGTTCGGGTTTGAGGTCAAGTTGTGATTTTGATAGGGCTTTCTTGGGATTCTTGTTCACCGTGTTGTCCCTGACAAAACCTAGAAGTTTCATCAGATTCGGAGCGGTTTCATTTTGGTGGGGATTTGAGATTTCATCTCAAATGGAGGTAAGGGGTGTTATAGTTTCAATTTCTTATTGTCTTTCATGCTATTGATACTTATACAACTTGTATGCATGCTTTTGTTCATAATCTAGAAATTTAATTTAATTATTTCTTTGTATAAGATTTAATTTATATGATTGTCTATAGCTTGGAATCAAATTGTGGCATGCTATTAAATTAGGCCATGATATGTTTATTATCATATTTTAAATTGAGGACATTTGAATAAGTATTGAGACTTTTATTTAATATTTTTCTTTGGTGAAAGTTTAATTCACATGGTCGTAACTTGCATGAAATTGACTTGTAATGTGATATTAAATTAGGCCTTAGTATGTTCTTTAACATATATAAATTTGGGAATATTTGGAATTGATTTAAAATCTAAAGGAAATTAATTAATTAGTTTAATTAATTTCATTTTAAGTGTTGTAGTCACTTAATTGGATTTTTAACTTGATATTGTTGATTACCATGCTATGTCCCTTAACATATATTAAATTGAGACTATTTAGAAATTATTTGAAATTTAGAGAATTTAATTATTTTTATTTAATTAAATTCTATCTAATTGTTCCATGGACTTAATCATGTTTTAAATGTTGTTTCTATGTTACGATCATAGATTTGGACTTGTTGCGTATTCACTTGATTATGTTTTAAGCATTGAAGAACATTGTTGTTAAATTTGTATTCATGCGAACATGCTTCTAATATGAATATATTCTTGACTTGTGATTTCATAGCATTATGAATATAGAATGCTTATTGTGTACTATTGGAAGTTAAATTGCTAACTTGTTACTATGTAGTAGTAATATAAGATTCTTGTGGATTATTGCTATTATTAGCCTTGTAAACTTGTTGCTACTATATCGTAGAATTAATGTTTAAAGTTGGTCATGAAATAAATGATTTAAGTTGTTAAGTAGATGATATTGTTTTGTACATTGTATCATAGTAAAGACTTGACATTATATATGCCATTTTAGAATTGAAACTCAAAGGCGTGGATTGTGTGGCTTCAACTTACTTGTGCATGGAAGGTGGTTTCGTGCATTAATTAAGTATGTATAAGTTTTGAACTTATTTGTTAATTTTGGAGTCACTTGGGACATTGTTACTGTGATATGGCTAGAGTTTGGCTCTAGTGCGGGAGGTATGAGTTCTCTCCATTTGAGATAGTGTGCACTACGGTAGTCTTCCCAGCGGGTTAATACCCGGAATAACCATTTTGATCTTGGTTTAGTCCGAAACGTGATGTCCAAGTCTTCCAATATTTGATTTTGCATTCAATTTCAAGTTGACAACCAATGTTTAATTGTGACTTGTGGTTTTGGTTATTAACGAATTAATGTTGTTAAGTACATTTATGCATTATGATTTTAAATAAATCATAGCATGCTTTTAATGTTGTTAAGTACATTCATGTTTTCTGATTTTTGATGAATCATTGTAAATTTTGATGTTATTAAGTACATTATGTTGTATTGTTCAAATGTAGCTTAGGAATGATCCTATAAATTCAATTGGAACATAGACTTTAGGTGGCATAACCCACTTTAGTTGTTTTCGCATTATAGATTTCAAGTTGATAACTTTGAGAATCTATATTTTGTTGCTTTGTATAGCATGCTCCTATGTTTTGAAATTGCATAAAGGATGTGTCTTATGATAGAAATAATTTAAGGTAGCTTATGATGCTCCCTGAGTCTCACATTTGACATAGACGTTAGGTGGCATAACCCTTTTGAATTGTTTCATGTTAATGTAAAAATCTATAAGAAATTGAGTCGATGCATACTCATTCCCTATGAGTAAACTTGTTTACTCACCACGAAGTTACTGAGGGTATTGTTCAGGTACAGGATTCGAGATTCGGAGATTTGCACTTGCCTTGGGTAGTTTGGAGATTTGAAGTTTCTTTTTAAAGTATTCTTGTTCACATGCAAGTATTAGCATGTTTAAGTTTTACATTTGATGTTGAAATACTTAGTTAGGTTCAATTATGTCATTTTTGCCTTATGATATGTAAAGTGTACTTGGATACACTATTTGGGACCTGGTTGATATGTATGATTTGTGGCCAAGGGCCACCAACCTTAAAGTTCAAGTGTATGCATTTATATTCCAAGTTTTGTCTTTGAAGTGTAATTTTTCTAACTTGGAGGTTTGGCATGTGATTTGGAGTAAATGATCTATAATGAGGCCATGGGCCATTGTAACACACTTCAATATGTAAAGTACATTTGTTGGCATGCTTACATAGCTTAAAACCATTATTTTTGAACCAATACATGATGGGGATTGAGGCTTGGGTTAAGCCTCAACACTTTTGGAGTATAATAGGTCCATTAGCAGCTTTTCTAGTCATTTCAGTCATCCGAAATGCTAGTTCGGTCGACCGATGGCTTTAAGAAACTTCAATGAACAGTAAAACACTCATTCCAGTAGCCATTTTCGCCGTTTATGCCCAGTTCGGTCGACCGATGGTTTATTTCGGTCTACCGAAACAACCTCCCTTCAACAATATATTTTCAGGCTGGTTTTTGCCCAGTTCGTTCGTCCGAAACTCTAGTTTGGTTGACCGAAATAGCCCTTATTCAGCTGCTTCTTCAGTTTTGTTTTAGCACTGTTGTTCCGATTTCAAACGATCATATCTCCTTCATTTCTAATCCAAATGGGGTGATTCTTGAGCCTAAATTCATGGATTTTGAGTCATCTTTCCAATGGTACTAATTTCATTCTCATATTCAAATCACAGTGGGAGTTATTCAAGTTTTAGTGAAGTAGTGTCAGTTTTCGCTTAAACCGAGAAAGGACATTTTCGTGGGATTCTTAGCCAATGTTCTTGGAACCTCTTGGAATGTTGTGAAATGACTAGATTAGATTGTATTCACCTTGTTTGACTTGTTTAGAGTCAAGTTTCTCTTTTTATTTGTGAATTGACCATTTTGCCCCTTGGTTAATAAATTTTGCCCGTTTTAACCTTTGTTTCCGCTTTTGCTTTCTTTGAGTTCCGTGACTTCATGGAAGGTCACATTGGTGTCTTGGGAATGATCTTTATCTCTATAGACTTTGGTTTTACCTTTTTCTTCCGCATTTTGGATTCGTTATCGGATCAACTTTCGATTCATCACTGAAGCACCAAGTTGAAAAACTTGGGCTGTCACAGGGAGGTTGAAAGGGGAGAGCAAAAATGGAGTGTCTAAAACTATTATAAAAAAAAAATCATAAAAAATGGCCAATCAATAATTTAGCATAAAATTCAAGGGTATGAGAGTTATTAGTTCGTAGGGCTCTACCGCTCTCTAGAACGACTGAAAAAGTGAATGAATGTAACTTAGGGTTTATAGAGCTAACTATATATACTAATAAAATAAGGATGATTTAGTAATTTACCTACCTACACGGCGGGGCGGGGTGACCTCCCCTCGCCCTAAACCTGAACGAGTTTTCATTAATAAAAATTATCCCCACCCAAATAAGCTAAACGCCCCCCAAAACTACTATAAACAGGATGGGTTGGAAGGTAGGCAATATTACAATGTTTTTTCTAGATTTTTGGACCTTCTAAGCACCGTGGTGATGTCCGTGGGTGAGTTTGACCATCTGTGTGAAAAGTTAAACTTAGGGTTGACCGCTCGAGCCTTGCCGAGGGTTTTGGTCAAAGTAGGTGATGGTGGAGGGTAGAGACTTCGAGGTGAAGTATACCCTATGGTTTTTGGTTGCTTTGGACTCAGTGGTGAAATTCGTTTATCGTTTTGACAATTGGATGATGGGGTTGTAGTTCAAAATGCTAGTTTTGCCCTTTTAGGGGGAATGGTGATCGGGCGTCGGGAAGTGTGTGATGTGGTTGATTAATGGTGTCGGGAGATGGAAACTCCATTCCTTTTTAGGATTCAGGAGGTTGGTAGGTTGAAAGGGGAGAGCAAAAATGGAGTGTCTACAACTATAAGAAAAATTCATAAAAAATGGGCAATCAATAATTTAACATAAAATTCAGGGGTATGAGCATTATTAGTTCGTAGGGCTCTACCGCTCTCTAGAACGATTGAGAAAGTGAGTGAATGTAACATATTATTTCTAGAGTTAATTATATATACTAACAAAATAAGAATAATTTAATAATTTACCAACCTAAGTAGGACGGGATGACCTTCCCCTATCCCTATCCCTATTCCAAACTCGTGTGAATTTTTATTAATAAAAATTATTTTAATTCAGATAAATTAAAGTGTACCCAAAACTATTGTAGACTGGATAAGGCGGGGCGAACACCCGCATGACAAATTGCCATTCCTATGCTCAATACTCAACAGTTTCAGCACAAGTAAATATCTCACCTGACATTCGGCACCCTCGAACAAGCAAGTTACCAAATAAATACTCTGTTGGGAAGCCTAGTTGGTTGGAAAGTCTTATTGAAAGGGGCTACCCATTTTATTCTGACGTCCATCACATGCGTGTTACCACTTCAAGATATCCGTTTGGAGTATCCTTATCATCCCACTTAAAATCATGCTCCATCATCATATTCAAAACTACCAAAATCATTTTATTGTTTTATTTTTACCTATTCCGTCGCCTCATAATTTGGTTTCCAACTTTGGATGATAAAAAATTAATCCATTAGAACCAGGGAAAAAAGATAAGAGAATCACCTGACATCATTGTTGCTGGATAAAATATTTTTTCATTTATAGAATCAGTACATTATTGGAAAGTGACAAGGGTAGCAATTCGATCGAGAACGGATATGACAGTGACGCATGCCATTCTGTGTGCTGCTGTTGGTGTAAAGGTTCTTCGTATTTGAGGAGGGATTGGGAAAGGGGTTTTGATTAAATACATATCAATCAATTCGATTCTCTCTGTTCATCATGTATAGATTACGAGCTTGCAGAGAAATGAGAGTCATAGCTCGCCAAACGGCTTTAAATTGGCTCAGCTCATTCAATCCGTCAAGGTGATTTTTTATTTCTCTGCCAAATTCATGGGTTTCATTTTGTGATTCTTCCGGTTTTTTCTTCTTCTGTTTTTTTTTTTTTTTTTTTTTAAATTTATCAGTTATTTATTTTCTTTCTTTTCTATTCTTGGGTCCCTTTGAAAATTTATTATCGGTCTGTTTATGTATCAGATTATAATTTCTACTATATCAGTGGAAAGAATGCCATATTAATTCAAACTTTTGGGAACCATCAGACGGTTTGTATTGTGAAATAAGATCTGGTTGCAGAACTTTAGTACTTTGCAAAGGGCTTTGTTAATTTCCATGATTATGTTCTTCAGGGCTTCAATTTTGTTAATAATAGATTGGGTTCAAGTTCCCTTCCCTTGTTCATTAGAGTTCTGTTGTTTTGTTATTTCTGAGGTCAAAATTACTGATATCATGTGTGGCGGTGTTGCCCGACTGATAGAAGGGCCAAGCCTAAAGTGCCCCCACCCTATTGATCCTAGGTTCTATTCCCTACCTACTAACCATTGTCAGGCTAAAAAATAAAAATTACTGATACACCAGAATACCTTGTCTATGGAGTATGGACACACCTGCAGACATGACACAATACACACATGGTGATAAGACAATTTCACAGGATACAAATATGACAATGAAAAGCCAATATATTTGTATGTATATATGTTGTTTTAATGTAGAGATCATCATCATCATCATCTATGTTATATGGACTCGGGTACGTGTGTCGGACGCGGGTATGTATCCATGTGTTGGACGCAGGCATGCATCATGTGTCAAATATGCAAACAGAAGTACACACGAACACGGCTAAATATGCATTTTATTAATTATTTTATTTTCTTGAGTAAAGTAATGTTTTTTTTTATTTTTTATTTTTTTATATCTAATATAATGTTCAATATAGACATTTAACACATTTAATAAAATATAATTGAATGATTGGATATGCTTTTTAAGTACATGTCCAACTAAAAGTGTCGGACACATTCCATACCTATATCTGAGCAATATGTGTAAGACACGGGTATTCCATACTTTTGAACAGTCCATGTAAGATAGATCATCATCATCCTTGCCTTTACCCTATTTGGATGGGGTCGGCCACATGTATTCTTTTTTTCTTTTCTTTTTTTTTTTTTTCCATTCTTTCCTATTATATAACATTTCTTCTCTTAAATTTAATTTTTTTAAATCATTTTATTATAATTTCATCCCAAGTTGGTTTTTGGTTAGCCTCTTTCTCACTTACCTCCTCGGCAAGCAAGCCTTCCTCTTCTAACCGGTGCATCATTGGGTCTACGTTGCATATGCCCATACCATTTAAATCTACTTTCTTTAATTTATCTTTTATATGCACTATACCTAGCGTTTCCCTCACACGTTACGTAGCATCCTCATTGCCACTACATGAATGCACTGTTCTTGTGTCTTTTTCAATGCCAACACTTTGGCTGGCCTAATAACTGTTTTATAAATTTTCCTTTTAGTTTATTTGGTATTCTTTTGTCACAAAGGACACAACTAGCTTGTCTCCATTTTGTCCATCCCGCTCCAATCCTACTTACTACATCGCTATCTACCTCTCCATCTTTTTGTACTACTGATCCTAGGTAACAAAAATAGATATGTTGAGTACTCATTGGTCTTGAATTGTAATATTTGTATTATCATTGTTTGCTACTTTATCAAATTTACATTTCATATATTATGTCGTTTTTTTTTTTTTTTTTTATAAGTAAATTGTATTAAAAGCGTTCAAAAGGGGAGCGCGTCCCAAACTATACAAAGACAAAACGGAGCCTATAACTCAAAGAGCTCATAAAATCAACAATATCCTCAAGAGAGGAGTAGTCTCTCCCCTGACCCCAACAAAACAAATTACAAATGATAGAAAATTTTAACACCCCAATGGAGGATTCCTTTCCGTCAAAAGATCTTCCATTACGCTCTCTCCAAAGGCTCCACCAAATACAAAAAGGGGTCACCCTCCAAAAAACTCTGGCCTGAGCCCCCACCCATTGGCCCCTCCACATATCTAATAACTCCTGAGATGACCGAGGCATGACCCAATGAATACCAAACAGGCCAAACATCAAACTCCAACAATCATGAGCCACAGGACAGTGCAACAAAAGATGATCCACCGACTCCCCATTAATCTTACAAAGACAACACCTATTAACAATGATATGCCTTCGCTTCCTCAAATTGTCCAAAGTCAAAATCTTACTCCAAGCTGCAGTCCACACAAAAAAGGCCACCCTAAGAGGCGCCTTAGACCTCCACACCGTCTTCCATGGGAATGAGGTACCATGAAAACCAGAAAGGCACACAAAAAAGGACCGGACCTGGAACATCCCCCGAGAAGAAGGCACCCAAATCAAAGAATTTGCCCCAGACCCCTCCACCTCCTGTCCGTAAAGGAGAGCCAAAAACCCAGTGACATCATCCAGCTCCCAATCCTGAAAAGCTCGCCGGAAACGCACATCCCAAAACAACCTTCCACTATCAAGGCGATAGTAATCAGCAACCATAGCATGTTTGTCAACAACAATCCTGAAAAGCCTGGGAAACAAAAGGGCCAAAGGCCTATCATCACACCATGGATCCTCCCAAAATCGGACATTTCTTCCATCCCGAACTCTGAATCTAATATGTTTGGAAAAGGCATCCCACCCCTTACCAATGGCCCTCCACAGCCCCACTCCGCTAACAGACCTGATTGGTCTAACTGACCACCCTCCTCTCTCCTCCCCAAAGCGACATGAGATAACCCTTCTCCATAATCTGTGTCTTTCCTTACCAAATCTCCAAAGCCACTTACCAAGAAGAGCACAATTGAAAGGGGCCAATCTCCTAATTCCAAGCCCTCCCAACCGAATAGGCCTGCAAACCTGTTCCCATTTGACAAGATGATACTTGAACTCTTCTCCGCGACCCCCCCAAAGGAAATTACGTTGGAGCATTTCTAGTCTTCCAACAATAGAGGCTGGAATACGAAAAAGCGAAAGAAAGTACGTTGGAAGGCTTGACAAAATGCTCTTCACTAACGTAACTTTACCGCCCTTTGACAGATATTGTTTTTTCCAACCCGCTAATCTTCTCTCGACCCGCTCAATCACCAGGTTCCAACTTCCCACCCTCCTAGCCGAGTCCCCCAGCGGCAAACCCAAGTACGAGATGGGAAAGCGTTGCGTCCCACACCCTAGAACAGCAGCCAGAGTGTCCACCTCTTGAACCTCCCCCACAGGAACAATCACACTCTTTCCCACGTTAACTTTCAAACCAGAAACAGCCTGGAAACAAACCAAAACACATCTCAGATACCTCAACTGGGATGCATCAGCCTCACAAAAAACAATAGTGTCATCCGCAAAAAGTAAATGAGAGATCTCCAACTGCTGAACTGATTCAGGGCCAATCTTGAAACCCCTAAGAAAACCCAAATCCACCGCCCTTCTCATCAGCCTGCAAAGGGCCTCCATAACAATAATAAAAAGAAAAGGGGAGAGAGGATCCCCCTGTCTCAACCCACGAGAACTGCCAAAGAACCCAGAAGGAGAGCCATTCACCAACACCGAAAACCTGACAGTGGAAACACAAGAAACAATCCACTTCCTCCATCTCTCACCAAAACCCATCCTCTCCAACAGATAGAACAGGAAATTCCAGCAAACATGATCATAGGCTTTCTCAATATCCAGCTTGCACAGAACACCAGGAGTCCCACTACGAAGTGTAGAATCCACACATTCACTAGCAATAAGAGCGGAATCCAGAATCTGTCTACCCCCAACGAAAGCATTCTGAGACTCAGAGATAACTCCATCCGGGACCTCCCTCAATCTAAAGGCAAGGACTTTTGCAATGATCTTGTAAATGCACCCGATCAGACTAATGGGTCTAAAATCCTTGATATTAGAAGCACCACCCTTTTTAGGAATAAGGGCAATAAAAGATGCGTTAAGCGATTTCTTAGTTTTACTTATCAAAAAAATATATATTATGTCTTAGTTTTACTAATTTTTAAGCCTCTTGCCTCTAATGTCTCTCTCTATGTTTCTAGTTTTACTATTAGGCCTCCTTAGAAATATCTATTAAAGTTATGTTATTGCATTGTATTAATGTAAAGATTTATATAAAAATTGAAAAAATATATATATTAATATGTATAATTTTTTTTTTTTTTTTGATAAGTTTTTTTTAAATTAAATGCCACTTTTTAAAGGGAGTTGGTGCCAAGTCTCGAACCCATGCGTTCCAAGAGCCAACAGGAGGCATCTTACCAGCTAGGCTAGAAGAATTTAGCAATATGTATAAATTGAAATATATATATATATATATATATATATTTATTTATTTATTTATTTGTATTGTTCGTAACATTGCTTATAAAAAAATTATGATAAACAAGTTTAGAGTTGAAGTTATATTATGTGGATAAATTTTAGACTAAGTTAGTCATAATGTATATATCTCCATACTTCTTTTTGAAGAAATGTTAAGCCTTTTTAACAATTATATTAGCTTCTTATACTTAGAGAAGAATCTAATACAAAATCGATGTATCTAAGAACTATCTAATACGTGTTGGAAATAAAAAATAAAAATAAAAAAATAAAAAATAAAAAAAAGTATTGTCAAATTATAGATGTGTTTAGGAATTATTGGACTCGTATGTGCAAGTATCTAAAGAGTTTCGGTATCCGACACGAACACGATACGGGTACGTCACCCTTATAGAAGTATCCATGCTTCATAGGTGACGTTAGTGCCATACAAATATTTAAGTGGAATGCCAATATTGCCATTAACTACAACAAAATGACAAACTTAACCCTGTATTCTTTTGTAATAATTGATTTTATCCTTGTGATGTGACAAAAATGACCTTAGATAAATTTTATTATATTGGCATAGTCTATTGTTAAATATATAATGAAAAATCACATTTTTTAATACATATATAATTCACAAGCTTTAAAATTATATATATACACGCGCACATTATTTTACTTGCATTTAAATTGATTCTACACTTTGAACCTCAAAATATTTTAAATATAATTGAAAATTATATATTAGATATGCATTTAATTTAGAAGCTTTAAAATTTGAAAAAAATGTATATATGTTAATTCTATAATTTAATTTTCTTACGTAAAGTGTAAAATTTGCATTTTGCAAAAATATAAACATACAAGTTACTCGTACTTGAATTTTCTTTTCACAAGTATTTAATACATTATTATTACATTAAAGCTACTTACATTTTAGATTTATTTGTTAAAACTATTTTAATATATTATATAGACTACAGCAGCAACAACAACCGAGGCTTTTCCCGATTACTTGGGGTCGGCTACATGAATCCAATGTTTTCATTCCGCTCTATTTAAGGTCATAACCTCAGTCATTCCACATGCTATCATATCTTTCTTTAATAATTTTACCCATGTTAACTTTGGTCTTCCTCTTCCCCTAATATTACCCTTAATGTGGACATGTCACTTTTCCTAACCGGCGCACTTAAATGTCTTCTTTGCACATATCCAAACCATCTTAACCGATTTTCTCTCATTTTATCACCAATTGCTGCTACTCCAACCATATCCCCAATGCGATCATTTCTAATTCTATTCTATCGAGTCTTACCACTCATCCATCTCAACATTCGCATTTCTGCCCACTCACTTTATGCACATGTTATTTCCTAGCTGCTCAACTTTCGTACCATATAGCATTGCTGGTGTGATTCATGTTCCATAGAACTGCCCTTTCAGTCATAAGGGGATATGCCTATCACACAATATACTAGATACACAATATACACTCCTCCATTTAACCCACCATGCCGTGATTCTATGATTAATGTCATTTCCAATTTCTCCCTCATTATGAATAATTGAGCCTAAATAACAAAAATGTTCACTTTTTTGTACCTCTTGATTCTCAATCCTCACTATATGTATGTGTGTATGATCCATTTCATTTTTTTTTCTTCTGACAACCCGATCCAAGAACAACCGAAATAGCTATACAATCGATGCTCAAGAATTGCCCACGTGACCTTTGATTGCTTAAATCATCCTTTTTAATTCAAAATAGAGGGGGAGGGGGGCCTTTTTAAAAGGGCTAAAATCACTTATTTTGGATTTTTTACCCCATATTGTAGGGTGGATCTCAAACGATATGAAAGATCTCCCTCCAAATCGTACATACAACTTTCATCGAATACGGCTTTCCACATTTGAAAAATCGAAACTGCACTCAAACAACATGAAAATGAAGAACCAAGGCCACCATAATTACCAAAAATTCTGGCGAGCCAGACCATGTGGTAGTTAAATAGTAGTTGCTGACATCAGCAAGGCATCATGCTGACATCAGCCTACAGATGATAATCTTCAACGATTCTGATCTCCTACAACTTGATAAAATTGTTGCAGCTTCAATGTCCTGCTCTGATACCAAGTTAAAATTCTTATGTGTGTGTTGGGGTTAAAGATTAGAGGAAGAAAGGAAGAGAAGAAAAGAGAAGAAAGAACAGAAGTCTGAGAGGAAAAATAAGAGGTGTGTATAAAAACCTACACCCCTCAAGCTTATATATTAAGATAAGCAAAAGTAAAATAATACCCATGACCATTACCCTTTACTACAATAATGACATCTAACAATAATGAATCGAAGAGAGTATACAACCGTAGAGAACGCCCACCCATTTATTTTGCATCTCTCTACTCTCACCCACTCTCTTCTCTTCTCACTCACTCATTCCTCCATTCTTTTTTCTTCGAAACCTTCTCCACCCAACTCCACATCTATTTATAGAGTTTCAAACCTAATTCCTTAGTGGCCAAGGATTACATTTCCTTAGAGCCCAAGACTTGCCTCCCATTACTAATTTTGTTTCGTATGATCATGTTTCCTCATCCATGCAACCTTTTGCTTTTACCTTGTCATCGGTCTCTACCCCTTCATCTTATAAGTAAGCTTTATCTATGTCTGGATGGAAACAAGCTATGGATGAGGAAATGAGTGCTCTTCACAAGAATAAGACTTGGGAGCTTACTGTTCTCCCTTCTGGGAAATGAAATGTCGCTTGTCATTGGGTTTACACAGTTAAGTATCTTCCTTATGGTACTGTTGAGCATCTTAAGACACGTTTAGTTGCCAAAGGGTGCACGCATGCCTATGGTTTTGATTACTCAAAGACCTTTTCTCCTGTAGCCGTCTTAACTCTGTACAAGTTCTTCTCTCTGTGGGCCTTTATGTCAGCTTGATATAGAGAATGCATTTCTTCATGGTGACCTACATAAAGAAGTTTATATGGATCAGCTACCTGGTTAAGTTGTTGATGGTACTGAGCACCTTGTTTGTCGACTGCGGAAGGCTTTCTATGGCCTAAAACAGTCCCCTTATGCTTTGTTTGATAAATTTAGTGTTGTGGTGATTGAATTTGGTTTTCAGCGCTCTAGTCCTGATCATTCCGTCTTTATTCATCGCTCTTCTGCTGGTACGATTGTCTTGATTGTCTATGTTGATGATATTATTATATCTGGAAGTAATTCAGCAGGCATTGTAGAGTTGAAACGACATTTGGGTCAACATTTTAATACTAAAGACTTGAGCGCACTTCGCTATTTTATTGGGATTGAAGTTGCTCGTTCTCGTCAAGGCATGTCCTTGTCTCAATGGAAATATTTTCTTGATCTTTTGGATGAGACCGGTCTTTTAGGTGCTCAACCGGTTGGTACTCCTGTGGACTCCACAGTCAAACTTGATGGTGAACGTGGGGAGTTGTTTGCCGATGTTGGCCAAGATCGGCGCCTAGTTGGGAAATTGATCTATGTTACTATTACTCGTCTGGATATTACTTATGTTGCTAGTGTGGTCAGTCAACATATGCATGCTCCTCGTCAACAAAAAGCAAACAATAGTTGGCACAATAAAAAGTAAACAATAGTTGCTCGTTCTAGTGCAGAGGCTGAGTATCGTGCTATGGGTATTGATGTTCCTACTCCTATGTCGATGCATTGTGATAACCAGGCTACTATCTTTGTTGCTAGCAATCCTGTTTTTCACGAGCGTAGCAAGCATATAGAGGTGGATTGTCATTTTATTCGAGATATGTTGATGCGGAAACAAATTGTTACTCCATATATTGGCTCTAATGGTCAGCTAGGTGATATTCTTATGAAGCAGCTGGCTTGTGGTGCATTTCAACGGTTGTGCTTCAAGCTGGGTGTGTTTAATCTTTATGCTCCACCTTGAGGGGGAGTATTAGATGTCGTTATTTAAGTAATGGGTAATGGTCATGGGTATTATTGTACTTTTGCTTATCTTAATATATAAGCTTTAGGGGTGTATGTTTTTACACGCCTCTTATTTTTCCTCTCAGACTTCTCTTCCTTTCTTCCTCTAATCTTTAACCCTAAAACACACACACACAAATTTTAACTATTATTAGTGAAATTTCTTCTCTCTGTGGACATAGCCCAAATTTTGGGTGAATCACGTAAAATATTGTGTTGTTATTATGTGTGCTTGTTTGTGAGTTGCTTCCGCTGTGCCGCATGAATGAAGGGGTATAATTCTCAACAAATGTATATGTGATCAATTTTGGCATAAGCTAAACTTAGAACTCGACTTTTTAAGCATTTGAGAAGTAATTTATTTTACCTAATTAGTACGATAGTTATTGGAAGTTCAGATATTGAAAATTATTTCGTTCCTGTGACTCGTACAAATTCAATAGCTACTTGATATTTGTCATATTCCTGCATTTGGAAAATTTTAAAAGTACTGTGAAACTACGGTTCTGTCACTATTAATCCACTCATTGCAGTGGAATATGAAACACTTGTTCCTAGTAACAAATCTCACGGTGGCGTGTATTTTGCCTGGAAGGATGTGTTTGGATTGCTCACATATTGGCCGTGTGATGCTATTTGTGCCAAACACAGTTTAGTAGTCTCTTTGTGTCTTTCACTTTTAATTGTTTTCTCTAGGAAATTTCATTTCATTTTAATATGTATTGCAGATCCATCCATTCGCTATCTCTTGCCAGTGAGGTTGAGGAAATATCAGGTTTGCAACCTGCTGAAGTACGCAACTTGGGTACGTTATACAACTTGAGCCACGTATGTAATTCATTAGCAAGGACTGATTACAGCAGACAATGCCAAAGAAAGAAAAAACTTTGATAATAAGTTCAAGGAGCAAGATAGAGACGTAAAATGAATCCAAAGTTCCTAACAGTACTACAACTTCTTTTATATTTTCTGTGATTTTGATCTAGTTTCTTTTATGTTTTTTTTTTTGTTTTTGAAAGTAACTAATGGTCAATGCCCTTGTAGTTTAAGACGGTGAATTCATTCAATAATACCTTAGTTGTTGGCCCAATGTAGAAGGCCAAATATAATGTATGTGGGTTGCAATCATTTTCAGTGCAAGGCAAATGGATAGGAACTTCTTCTTGTAATACAATTGTGGATCCTCTAAATGGGGAACCATTCATTAAAGTTGCCGAAGTTGATGACACAGGAATACAGGTATGTTATTTGATTGTATAACTACAATGTCTGTTCTGCATTTCTATTCTAAGAGATCTCTCCTTTGTTTTTACGGGTACCTTTTCACGATCTTCAGCTTCCACTTCCCTTCTTAAGCAATAGAAATATTTTCCTCATTATTATATATATGTTATGTTAAATGCACCTACACAAATTTTCTCTGTTCCCTACTTATGCAGCCGTTTGTAGAGAGCTTGTCCATGTGTCCCAAACATGGTCTACACAATCCATTTAAAGCACCAGAAAGGTTTGTGTTGCTTAATCTTCTTTTTTTATTTCTCTTAATTATTCTTTGACTCTTTTTATTGGCTTCTTTTCTTGTATCAGAGATGCATTGGTTCTGGTTCATGATAATTTAACTTTTTTTTTTCACAACAAGAATCTTATATATTTTATTTAATCACTTGGTAATAAAAAATCTCATAATGACCAATATGTTTCAGATATCTTTTGTTTGGAGACATATCTGCAAAGGCAGCCCATATGCTTTCCCAGCCTGAGGTAAAATATGACAAGCAAAAGATGCCGCCACCTTCTTGTTCTAAGTACATTTTAGATGTAAATCTTCCCCATGTCATCTAGTGATAATTGTTAGATTTGACTATGGCGTTCAGGTCTCTGATTTCTTCACTAGGTTAATACAAAGGGTGGCTCCAAAAAGTTACCAACAGGCTCATGGTGAAGTATATGTTACTCAAAAATTTCTGGAGAATTTCTCTGGTGATCAGGTACTCAGAAATTAACCTAGTTGAAACTTCGTAGTTTCATTGAAGGTTATCAATGCAATTGCGTCCATTGTTTTTAAGTTTTAACTGGCCTATTAAATGACATTATTATAACTTGCATTCTCATTAAGATAGTAAAGCTAGTAATCAAATATTTTTACAAAAACCGGCTACATTTATTTATTTATTTTTTCCTGTATTCTCATTAAGATGGTAAACTTGCTATATTAGTAGTCAATATGGTCATCTGTCTTTTCTAAGTTTTTCAAATTTTTTTGAATGCATAGCTTCTCTGACAGCAAAGGAATACTTTTTAGACCTTACCAAAGACAAATAATTTACTTTAATTTAATACTCCCTCCGTCCCATAAAAAGTGTCATGTTTGAGGAACCGTGACTCACAACTTGTGAGTCACGGTTCCCCAAACATGACACTTTTTGAGTCACGGTTCCCCAAACATGACACTTTTTGTGAGTCACAGTTCTCCAAACATGACACTTTTGTGAGTCACGGTTCTCCAAACATGACACTTTTTATGGGACAGAGGGAGTGTTTTCTTTTTCCTGAACTCTTTAAGTAGTTCTATGCATGTTCTACTTTTTACTTCTTAATTTCTACATGTCTGGCAGGTACGTTTTTTGGCAAGGTCTTTTGCAGTACCTGGGAATCATCTTGGGCAGCAAAGTAATGGTTTTCGCTGGCCTTATGGTCCTGTAAGGCACCCTTCTTGAACTTTTGTAATGCATTTTGACAGAAACTGCATTGCAGGATTGTTGAGGATGGTGTTTTAGTGATTATTGAGCATGTTTTCTGGAGGGAACAATAAAGTACATCTTATGCTTAATAGTGGTAGCATATATTCATTGTTTATTTATACCATATCAACAAGCAAGAAAGACTTGATATGTTTCTTGTTGCATATTAGAGACGTGTTTAAGAATTTTTATTGTATACTAAACTTTTGATTATTATGATTAAGTGTTACGACAAACACCACGAACCAAGAACAAACCAATAATCACGCATAAAAGTAAACACACCACACACAAAGAACACAAAGATTTACGTGGTTCGGCAAAGCCTACGTCCACGGTGAAGATCCAGCCCAAGATTTCACTATACAAAAACAGGAGATTACAAGTTTGTGACGACCTCTGTGGGCGGGTGTGATGTGGGCAAGCACTGGCAGGCTACGGGTGTCATGATCCCACATCGCATGGGAAAGGTAAAGTGTTATATGTAGGTTTTACACCCTTCTATGACACAATGCGTTTTAAAGCCGTGATGGCCATGAACCTATCAGAACTCCGGAGTTAAGCGTGCTTAACCTGTAGTAGTGTCCCAAAATGGGTGACCTCCTGGGAAGTTTCTAGTTTGGGGGAGCCAAAAGCGGCTAATATTGTGTCTGGATAAGGTGAGGGCCGTTACAAATGATATCAAAGCCGGAACCAGCCGGAAGTGTGGCCAACGAAGACGTTGGGCCCCATGGGGGGTGATTGTGATAACCTCTATAGGCGAGCACTGACAGGCTACATGGTGTCATGATCCCACATCGCCTGGGAAAGGTAAATTGCTATATATAGGTTCTGCACCCTTCTATGATACAACGCGTTTTAAAGTCGTGATAGTCGTGAACCAATCAGAACTCCAAAGTTAAGCATGCTTAACTTGGAGTAGTACCAGGATGAGTGTCCGGGGGAGCCAAAAGCGGACAATATCGTGTTTGGATAGGGTGAGGGTTGTTACAAAGTTTCAGCCCCCAAACTCTGGTTCTCTCTCAGTCTCTTTCTTGTGGTTTTCAGTGTTCTCTCGATACCCACTCCAAACCCTTAATGCCCTATATACTAGGTTACAAGAGAGTACTAAACAAAATTCAGGCCACAACATCCCAGTAAGCAACTAGATTAGTAGTGGAATTTCATACTAAATGCCAACACAAGTGCTCTTTTATAGAATGTGGACTTGGTAAGGACTTCACTAAGGTACATCAGTAATGAAGCAAACCACTTAGATCTTATTAAGTCTACAATCGATGTGCCACAGTACCATAACTCGAGGCTTTAAACCTTGTGCATTGGGCTAGTCCTTATATATATATATTATACACGTCTAGATAACTTTGGACGAATCTTACAGGTAGACCTTTCCATGATCATAACATTCCATAGCATTTTTCTTTAGCCACATGACTGTTCAATCTAAGACATGATATTTGCCATGCATAATCACTTTGATTCTCAAACCAATTTCTCAATTATCAAGTTTTATCCCTGATTTATAAGTATATATGTAAAACTTAGGGCCTGTTTGGCTTCTGCTTCTTGTTTTTTGCTTTTGCCAGTGTACTATAGTGAAGCAAAAGCACGAAGCACGTTTGGTAAAGTTTGCTGCGATTTGAATAGTAGCGAAGCACTTCCGAAAAAGAGGCCAAAACCGGAAGCAAAAAATTGATGCTTCCGGGCATTGTTCATGACATTTTTAGATAGCCATTTAATTTTTCAAACTTGCAACACTTTTTTACCAAACATGTTTTTATGTTTTTGCTTCCAAAAATCTTACAACAAATATACGTTACCAAACAAGCTTCCCAATAGTATTGAACCCATTTTAAAGTAGAAACATTGCTTATGCTTCGAGTCAAAGCAAAAGCACAAAACAACTGTAGTTGCCAAACGGGCCCTTAGTTTACATTATATAGACTTAGGTGCTGTTTGATAAAACTGAAAATTGTAAGTACTGAATATTAAGCACTGAAATATTAAGTGCTGAATGTATTCATTTGAAAACCTGTTTGATATTGTCTTATTTTTAAGCACTGAATTCATTAAGATTGTTTGTTAAATGTAAGAGCTGAAATCTGAATGTTGTACATATTACATTTTTGCCCTCAATTATCTTCTACACATAATATCATTATACAAGATACTATATATATATATATAATATAATATAATATAAACACATATATAATTATGTATTTCACCAAAAAGTAATATATCAATTTGACAATGGACATTAATGCCAGATCATAAAATACCAAAATCAAAACATAAAACGTGTGTAAAGATGGTACATAGAAAATAATTCTATTCATGGAATAATTATGTTACCTTGATGGAATCCAGTATCAATTCAATTTTCACTAAACTATTTTAATTTGAGCTACTTAATCTATAATTAATATGTTGTTACGTTTGTTGTATAATAGATGATCAAAACCTAAGTGTTCTCATCCAACTTGTACATGTAAAATCTTTTCATGTAAATCTGCGCTATTGAGAGGTAAATCAAGCACAAATATAAAATTTTGTAGATAAAATTGATAATAAGATAAAATAAAATAATATGAAGTGAATAAATTATGAAAATGAAATATTTATGACAAGAGGTTAGAATTCATGGCCAAACGTTACATTTTTATTTATAGTTACCATATAGGGTTTATTTTATTTATATTTTATTAATATTGTTTGAATTCACATTATTTGAGAAGAAAAGGTCAATGTTAGAGACATTGGAGTAAACTAAACATGACTTGTGGTATGAACATTCAAAATTATTTGAGGGTAAAATTGACATTAATAAAATATTTAAAACCTAAAATCACTTACCGTGTTCTACGATGAGCTATTAGCGACCTCCATGACACTTAAAATTTTGGTTTGTTTTAAGCCGTGCGGAATAGTTTAAGTGGTAGCCTAAATCGTAAACAAACACACTTATTTTTATAAATCGCTTACCGTGTTCTATGTTCAGCGCTAAACAATGTTATCGAACAGGGCCTTAGTGAATTCATTACTAACAGAAAATAAATAAACAAACTAATAATCAAGATCCTTTTATCAAGAAATTGAATCAAATCTCTAAAAGATTACGTGTCTTGGTGTTAATTTCGAAAGCAATGTGATTTTTTAATGATAATGTCTTTGTCTTTTGAAATAAGGCATGAATTGAAAGAAAATAAACATAAATAAAATACAAATAAAGTAAACTATTTTCAGGTCTTAGGTCTTTATAAATTTTCATATTAATCTATCCCAAGACTAATTTCCTTTTTCTTTCTAAAGAGTGAGATTTTTTCTAAATTTCCTTATATCTTCGTTTTTAATCCAAATTCTTTTTATTTTAAATTCAAAATTCCCTTGAATATTAGATTGCCTTTGTTTTGCCAAATTCTTGTTAGTTTCATAATTTGTAACGTTGGAATTAATTGACCTTATGATTAACGTTAGTATTCTGAAACTTGTATTTTTCATATTTATTAACTCTTTTATTCTATGTAAATTATCTCTTCTTCTTTGAAAACAGAAAAATTAATATGGCCCTCCCTTTTACAATAAGAAAATTTTAGGATATTTAGGTGAATCACAAACTGTAGAGACTTCTTTCACTTTTACTCTTTAGTGTTGGAAGTAGATGGTGTATTAGAGCTATTAACAAATCCTAAACCACTCTTATCTCCTACATGTTTGTTGATCCCTAAAAGTTTATCTAATTTTTCAGTTCCACTAATGAAGTTTTGAATCGTCTTTTTTTTATTTTTCTAAATCAAAAACAAGGTTTTCAATTTTAAATTCTAAAGGTTTTTAAAATTTGATGAAATGATCAATTTCTGTTTTTAAATATTCACTTTATTTTTATATAGAAGAGATTCTTTTTCAATTTTTAATTCTTCAACTAGACATGTATCTTTTTCAAGTTCAAGTTTGAACCTATTTCATTCTAATTCAATATTTACAAGTGTTCATGTTCTAACTTGTAGGCATCACCTTCATGCTCTATGCTTCTAAGTTTCTCAACTTCTAGTTTAAGGTCACCTTACTCTTTTTTAACTATTTTCAATTTTGTGCTCAATGTTTTAATATTCTTTTTCTTTTTGAGGAAATCACTAATTAATTTTTGAATCTCGCCTTCATCATTCATATTAGTATATGGCAAATTTAGTAAATTTTGAACTAACATAATTATTGTCCAAACTAACAAGAGGAAGTGATATTATTATAACATTCAATAAAAACGGTGATATTATCCACAATTTCTATTCACAAAAATATAAGAGTCTACCTATCTAACGTTTAGGGACCTGCTCTTATTCGAATGGTTTGGTCTACAATTAAATTAGTATGCTCTAATACCAATTGATAAGTACAAGACCATAACTCGAGGCTCTGATGTAGAGTAACACAAGGCCCAAAATAGATCTGGAGGTTGGTGAACAGATCATGTCCAATTTTAACTAAATAACTGATTTTAAATTCTAATAATTATATTTAAAACACAACATTATCAGCCAGTTAAATATGAGAGCATGAAATAAATAAACCATGCAACCACACATGAATACACAATTTTTATGTGGAAAATCCTAATGGAAATAAACCATGGGACCTAATCCAGGCAAATCAAAGCCACTATGAGAATGAGATTTACACTAGGTTACAAATTTCATATTCATGTACATACTCATTGTTTGATCTCTACGAAACATAACCTTTGAATGGCAATGTGAATCCCTTTTTGACAAGGTATAACAAATATTACGATTATGATGTCTACTTATCTGCAGTCATGTTTCAACTTTTGAAAAAAAAAAAATCAGCTACAAGTCCCTTTTTTCCATTCAGCTAAAAACTATTTGATTGCATGACAGTATTATCATATTTGACAATAAACATTATCATATTAAAACATTTGTTTCTGCAGGTAGCAATTATAACCCCTTTCAATTTTCCACTAGAGATTCCTGTGCTTCAGTTGATGGGTGCACTTTATATGGGCAATAAACCTATTCTTAAAGTTGATAGCAAGGTAAGCTCTTGAAGATCTTTCAGATACTCTTAATGGTATAAAATTCTTGTTATTTGATTTTGTTAATTCACATGACACTGTTTATTAAATTTAGTGAGTGGAGATTAACGTATGGTTAGCATCAAAGATAGAATCATGCGAGTCTTGTGAGGAGAAAATATATCGAGTGGTCAACGGAAAAGATGATGCACATGCCTAGCAAACGAATCAACAAATGGATTTTACTCAATTTAGTTTTAGAATGTGCCAAGCTAATGTCAAATTCACATCTGTAATTGTTTGTATACATCAACTTGTTACAATCCTTTCTAATTCAGTTTTCCTACTGTGCTTTCCTATTATCTTTTTAATATGCAACCATAATATACTATTACAAATGCCTTTTAGGTATGTATTGTTATGGAACAAATGCTCCGACTGCTCCATGATTGTGGGTTGCCAATGGAGGATGTTGACTTCATCAATTGTGATGGGAAGACAATGAATAAGCTATTATTGGAGGTTGGTTTTTCAGGAATTCTTCATGATAAGAATAGTTTGAATATTACCCTTTTTTAAGTCATTAATTTTGATAACTTCAGAGCCTTTGTCCCATATCTTAAGATTGTTGGTTGTTTGCTCCAATGTTTTTGTGTAGTCAAACATTTATACACTCCTAAGTCATATTTAAGTTCATATGGATAGATAGCAACTTAGGGACCAAGTATGGTTTGGCCATTTGCTAAAATAACTTTGTGTTTATTTCACTAAATTACTAGACCTGGAGAAAATGTGGAAAAGACCGCATTCAAGAATAAAAAACAGATATTATACCATCAAATTCTTCAGGTGCCAATGACTCATCAGTCAACTAACCAATTGGAACCTATTGACCCTTGTTCATTACGTATTTGTTTGTTATGCTTTCTACTTTTCTTTTCTACCTAATTTTGATTTACTTTAGTAAAATGTGCTTAACTTTCTTTCCATCATTTCCGACATCTAGGCTGTAGGTTTTATATCCTATAAACACTCCCAACATACAGAATCAGTTCATTAATCTTTTTCAACTTCAATAAGCATATCAGTTTTATTTACATTTTTTATTTTTGTTCTCATGCACAATCATGTGTGTGATACACACCATCTACTCAACAAGTTTAAACCCCAGCTACTTGGTATTGGGTACATGAAGCGCCTTGAGTTTGAATACTCAATGAGTATGGTTTATGTCTTCCAGTGGGTGCTTTCATTTCATACTTCTATCCTTTTTCTTATTTTGCTATTTTCCATTCCATTATCCACATTTCAGGTATACACCCAATCGTTGAGGCTGAGCATATTGTTTCTTGTTTGCCCAAAACCTTGCACTGTGGGCATGGTAGCTGTGGAAAAACAGATCACCAGAAAATCTGGGATTCTAGGCACGGTTGCCCCCAGGTTTCGGATCCAATTTATTCAGAATTATTCCCTGAATAAATTGGAATGATTCCTTTCCATTTTAGTTTCTGATTCCAGCTGTTTGGACAGCTGCAAATCTTTGACTTTGTACATATATTTCTTTCCGTATTTATAGCCTAGAGTGTAGCTGTCCTTTCTTGTATATATAGGCCTTATACAATCTGTAAACGATGAAGGAAATATAGAATTCCCTATTCAAAAACTTTCCTCATGGTACAGAGCCTCCTTAGTCTCAAATTCTTTTGCAAGAGACTTCTTCAGGTCATCCACCTCGGTGTCATCATTACCAGTCACAATGATGTCATCAACATACACAATTAGTACAGTTACCTTCCCTCCTTTGTGTTTGTAAAACATCGTGTGATCTCCTTGGCTTTGCGTATATCCCTTACTCCTGACAGCCTTGGTGAATTTTTCAAACCAAGCACGTGGGGATTGCTTCAGCCCATAAAGAGATTTCTTTAATCTGCATACTTTCTTTTCTCCAAAATTACCTTTGAATCCTGGCGGTAGCTCCATATACACTTCTTCCTCAAGGTCTCTATGGAGAAATGCGTTTTTACATCAAGTTGGTGCATCAGCCAATCTCGGTTTGCAGCTATGGACAGTAAAACCCGAACTGTACTCATCTTTGCCACGGGTGCAAAGGTTTCTATGTAGTCTATCCCATAGGTTCGTGTGAAGCCTTTTGCGACCAATCTTGCCTTGTATCGATCAATCGAGTCATCTGCCTTGAATTTGACAATAAACACCAATTTACACCCTGTGAGATTAGAGATCTGTAGAGAGAGAGAATAGAGATAGAGAGAGAGAGTGAGACAGCTCAAACAGAGAGAATGAGGCGCAACCCCTCTTTGTTTCATATCTAACCCTAAAACATAAAGGGGTTTATATACAATACAAGAAAGGCCTATTTACATAATGGCCATAAACCCTATATCTAATTACAATAGGACCCCAGCATAAATACATATATACATATAAGTGTTTTAACACTCCCCCTCAAGCTGGAGAATATATATCTTAGAATCCCAGCTTGGAACAAATCGTTTTTAACCGATTATGACCAAGGACCTTGGTAAACATATCGGCTAATTAATCTTTAGACTTCACGAATGGAGTAAAAATGTTTCCACTCAATATTTTCTCTCGAGTGAAATGACAATCAACTTCAATGTGCTTGGTTCTTTTATGAAATACCGGATTGGATGCAATGTGAATAGCTGCTTGGTTATCACAGAACAGTGGAATAGGAGTCTTGACTATTAACCTAAGTTCTTCAAGAAAATGTTGTATCCACGTTAACTCACTAGAGGTATTGGCCATCGCCCTATACTCTGCTTCAGCGCTAAACCGTGCTACAACTGTTTGCTTTTTACTTTTCCATGTAACAAGATTTCCACCAACAAATATACAATAGCCTGTAGTAGATTTCCTATCTGAGGGAGAACCAACCCAGTCAGCATCTGTGAAACCTGTCACATTGAGATGACCATTAGATTTATATAGTAATCCAAAACCTGGAGCTTGCTTGAGATATCGAATAATTCAAAGAACAGCATTCTAATGTGGTACTCTAGGAGCACTCATGAACTGACTTACAACACTAACTGCATATGAAATGTCAGGTCGGGTGATAATGAGATAAATTAAATTCCCAACTAGACGTCGATATCTGCCATGGTTGTCAAATAAATCACCCTCATCGGGTAATAATTTTATATTTGGGTCCATAGGAGCATCAGCAGGGCGAGTACCTAACATACCTGTTTCTTTTAACAAGTCTAACACATATTTCCTTTGAGATAGACTTATACCTTCCTTGGATCTAGCAACCTCAATACCCAAGAAATATTTGAGTTTGCCTAGATCCTTTGTGTGAAACCGATTCTGCAAGAACAATTTTAACTTTGCAATGCCGTCAGAATTATCACCTGTTATAACAATATCATCTACATATACCATAAGAAATATAAAGCCAGTTTTAGTATGCTAGTGAAATACCGAATGATCTGTCTGGCATCTGTTAAGGCCAAAGGAAAGTACCGCCTCGAAGAATATTTCAAACCAAGCCCGCCCTTGGAGATTGTTTCAATCCGTACAGGGCCTTTTTAAGACGACATACAGCATAACGAGACTCCCCCTGAGCAACAAATTCAGGTGGTTGCACCATAAACCTCTTCATGTAAGTCACCATGTAAGAAAGCATTTTTCACATCTAATTGAAACAACGGCCAATTATAATTGGCGGCAATGGAAATAAGGATCCGGATAGAAGAAATCTTCGCAACAGGGGAAAAAGTCTTATTATAATCAATAACATAGGTTTGTGTGTATCCCTTTGCAACAAGGCGAGCCTTCAATCGCTCAACAGATCCATCATGGAGATATTTGACAGTGTAGACCCACTTACAACCAACCGTTTTGGAACCGGGAGGTAAGGGAACAAGATCCCATGTCCCATTATGATGAAGAGCATCCATTTCATCTATCATGGCTTTGCGCCAAGCTATATCAGACAGAGCATCATGCACAGTTTTCGGAACAGCAGTAGTAGATAACGTGGATAAAAAACAAGAAAATGAGGGCGATACATTTTTATAGGAAACAAAGTTAGATATGGGGTGTGCAGTGACACACGAGCAAATACCCTTACGTAACGCAATAGGAAGATCATAAGTAGCAGGAGGAGCCTCAATGGAAGTAGGCAATTGGGGGGGTGCTACTTGTGATCGACTACTATACACTTGAAGTGGCGGTGGCACTTGAGGTGGTTGTGGTGGGTCACAGGGTAATGAATGTGACACATCAGGCAACAGAAGCAGCAGCTTGGTATCTAAAGACGAACCATGTGAAGAAAAATAAGGAGTATCCTCAAAAAAGGTAACATCCATGCACATAAGAGCACTACGAGTGTTAGGATCCCAACATTTATAACCGTTTTGAGTCCGAGAGTATCCAATAAAGACACACTTAACGGCATGAGGAGATAATTTATCAGTGCCAGGGCGTAATATGTGAGCAAAACACACCCACTCAAAAACACGAGGCGGCAATGCAAATAATGGTCGAGTAGGAAAAACAAAGGAATAAGGACATTTCCAATTAAGAACGGACGATGGCATACGATTAATTAAATAACAAGCAGTTAAAACAGCATCGCCCCAAAATGCTTTTGGAAGATGCATATGCATTATCAATGTCCGAGCTATTTCAATTAAATGCCTATTTTTCCATTCGGCTACGCCATTTTGTTAAGGAGTATAAGAACAAGAAGTTTGGTGCAAAATGCCACAAGAGTCGCAAAAACTAGAAATAGCACCTTTGACATATTCCATAGCATTATCATATTGTAAAGTGCGTATAACACAACGAAAACAATTGAGTGCTTGAATCAATTTACTTACAGATAATAAATTAAAGGGAAAATTTGGAACTAATTGCATAGAGGATAAAGAAATGGATGGGGTTAGTTTAATTGTTCCCTGGCCAGTAATGGAACATGTTCTACCATTAGCCAGAGTAACAAAAGATGAGGAACTAGACTTCTGAAAATTAGAAAATAGAGAGGCATCACCTGTGAGATAGGTAGAAGCTATAGAGTCAATAACCCAAGGGGATGTTGAAGTCTGTAAATCGGACAAGCATGCAATATTACCTAATTGCGCAAAATTACCTACATCAGTAGAGTTGGGATGTGTCCGGTTGACCAATGCACTGAACTCAGCTCGTGATAATGATAGTGTCACAAGTAGATGCAGGTGATGGTAATACAGAACTCTGACCAAGAGAAGAATGAGACCCCGCGAGGTCAGAGGAAGACACTGCTTGATTTGCCCATGCTGGTTTCCCATGAAGAGCCCAACAGTTCTCAACCGAGTGGTTAGTACCTCGACAGTGGCTGCAGATGCGATTATCAGTTCGACCATGACCACGGCGACTGCGACTTCTATCAGGGCCACTACTGCCACGAGAACTACCCGAATTTCCACCATACCCTCTGTTGCCACTAGGAGTATCATGACCTCTAGAGGATTGTGATAAAATAGGAGGAAGCATCA